TTCGTCGATTTTATTGTAAAGCTACTCTTTGCAATAGCCTCACTTCAAGATCGGGTCACACTGAAATGCTAATATATCTCGTGTTGTATCGATCGGTAAACCGTAAACTTGAGCACATCTTGAATTTCTAATTTACTTCGGGGAAAGGGAGCCCTTTGAGTCAAAATGTTCCTTATTCTCGACATGCCTGTTGTTCGTGTTCATGCATCACTAGTTCTCGCTTGTCTTGTCAAAATTTAGCCTTTGCACTGCAACATATTTTCAAGAGAATTTCTTCAAAAAAAAACATAGGCGAAATCTGCACAATTTGTGCAAAGCCCTTCAACCAGTGCTTAAGGTTTAAGCTTTATCAAGTGGATCTCTAAGTTTCAAATGTAAAGCGATCATTTTATCTTAAAGGTAAAAATATTTACTAGTGAGCACGAGCCCTTTCTTTTCCAACTTGTACGTTTATATTGGTACCTTTTGCACCTTAACTTTATATAAGAATATATGGGCATACGAAATAGAGCGACCTTGGCCAACATGGAGAACAAACTCGGCCTATTCTTAGCCCATCCTAGGAGAAGAGCTCTGGCCTAGCAGGTTAACGATGAATGTGTCACGTTTTTCAGCAGTGTTATTCAAATCTACTTGCGCGACACTAATAAACCATGTGAAGAATCATACTAGGATGCGTCAACAAATCTTAAACTCGTTTTGAGACTCTCAGTTTAGCCAATAATTTATTGCCAAGGTGGCAATGAATTCAATGCATGTGCAGGTAGTTTTTTCATTGATTGTTCATATCAATGATGTAACAAAAGTAAAAATGTATAACAAATTGTTCAAGAGATGCTAATTATTTTTCTCTGTATTCGTTAGGAGAAACAGTCAAAGTCTTGACAGGTTGACCACATAATTTTTAAAAAAGGCTCTGAACTTAAAAAATAAAAATAAGAAATGAGGGTAGCTCTCATTGAATATTGACTTACAGGCTAATAATCAGAGGCACCAAATCCTTTATCGGCTACACCAGATTCTGACGACCCGTCAAGCTACACTCTGTTTTCTGGCTATAGCTGAGTACTTCCACCGCCTCGATCCACGCCCTCAGCTCCCTCTGGTTGGTCCTTCCCCGGCCGGAATAACGAAGAAAAGACTCGACCCCATCAAATCTTGATCATGATCTTGATCTTAATTAATTAATCAGTTTCTCCTTAAAAATGTTTTTAGCTTATTTTCCATTTTTTAATTTTCAGTCAAGTTCTGTATAGATAGACATGTAATATCTAAATTAAGATGATTATAGTAGAAAACGGACCTTTTTTATTCTGCATTTCTGCTCTATTTTCTTATCAGATTCTGAAAATTATGCAGTCATTTCTGACTGAGAAATAGAGAGGAAAAGGAAGCAATTAAATCTTATTGGCATGTCGTGACAAGCACGTCCAATGACTAGTTTGAAAGATGGAGATCGAAAGATGAACTTCTGGGGAAAGGAAACGAATTTACTGCATCTGGTTTTGGCACCTTCGTTTTTATACCCTTTGGGTTGGATTAGAATCATTTTTTGAATACGGAATTGACATGTGATTATGATATTTCACTCCTCGATTTTCCAGCCATTTTAGTTAAGAATGTATTTCAAAGTTATGTTATTTCACTTCTTTTAACGAAGAAACGTAAATCAAGATATATAATATTATGACAACACATTTATATTCCGAAGGCACATACATGCCTTTTTATTTTTAGTTTTTTTCTAAAGTTAAATAAACTAACTAAATAAAATAAAGAGTTTAATATTTAGAAAATAAGAAAAGTGAAAACCCACAAGTCCATAACATATACTTTAAAAAAATATTATTAGTAATAATATCTAAAAATATTATAGCAAAGTTGTAAAAAGCGCAGTGCACAATAAGTTGAAAAGGAGCCTAGATATTATTTTAATTAGTTTGATACTAAATTTTATTTAATTATTAGTTTGAAAATTCAAAATTTGTTCGAAAATTTACTTTTTTGGGTTTATAGTGTAACCGGGTGCATTGTTATAGTTTACACGTCGATAAATTCGTCAAGTTCTCATTGTGCAAGTAAACGACTTAAATTAAAGTTCACTTAATTACTACCACACGAGCCGAACCCAAATC